TCAATACTTGATAAACCTACACGCTATTTCCTAAATTTGCAAAAATATAAAAGTATTAGCATTGATAAAACCACAGATGATATCCCTATATGAATACAAAAGGAATGCAAGCGCAGGCCTCTATATCTTATGGCCAGAATCTGTCACTTTTTTAACCCATGGAACAGCTTGTATTGGCTTGAGCTTAGTCAAAGCACACTCCAGGAAAAGTAAGACATATCTGTTGACAATGGCCCAAGCAACAAAGCTACAATGGCCAGAATTGTAATTAGTAATGCTAGCTGATGAAGTTTGAAAATATTAATCAAACTCCAGTTTCACCACAGTTTAAATAATGTTAAGATGCAAATACTTGATGAAGAATTTTCTACCTTGTGTTCTCTACATAGCATGAGAATTACCTCCATATATTTATTTCATCTTACAATTAATTATTTACTTGCATCAAAAAAAGAGTAATAAACATTATAGCACATTGTACCATGATCACGCACAAAGTCACAATCTTACATTTAACCTGTAAAGATACTAAAGATAGAATAATCAAGGAAATCAACCTGTAGAAATTCAAATGTGTGATACCTGTGCATGAAGCCTAACTTTTCATAGCCACGAGAAAACAACTCCAAACCACCTTCATACCTATCAATATCCTCACGCATTTTTCTGTATTGTCCTTACCTACAATTGGAACAAGACTTTCACCAACCTCAGACATTAAATCAAGAAAGTGACAGAAACAGGAAAATAATCTATTAATGAATAAAGGTTTATTCACAGCAAAATAATAAAAAGGTTCACTAAGAGTAAAATAATTAGACTATAAAGGTCTGTATCATAAATCTATCTTAGAGCCAAACATTTTGGATAATAAGTCTTTAAGAACACACAAATATAGACACAGAAGGAGTGTACACAAGAGAATTTTGTATCCATGTGAGTGAAATGTGTGCTAGATTTTTGTGTGAGTTAAAACTAGGGAAAATAAGGAGTTGTTGAAAAACTTAGTTTAATCCTTCATTGTATGTCATATCAGAAACTATGATGGCAAGATTTCATGAGGGAATATACTTATTAAACTTACAATTAAATTAGAAAAATCCTTACGAAGATTCCTAAATTTGTAATAGATTTAAGGGTTAAAAAGGGTTGTTGTTATGTGATAAAAAACTGTCAAGAAACTTCAGAGCTCTTATGGATATGGGACTTGAATTCAAACATTATTATGAACTAAAGGTATTTATTTAACCATAGTATAAGAGAAAAATAGAGCCATAGGTTGATTTGTTCAATCCCACATAAACATTAGGGAGAAAAAACAAGAAGCACCATCTTCGTAAGCAAGATATTTATGTTTATTAAGTCCAAGCTAGGATGGAGGGTAGACTTAAATTATTGCATTCTAATAAACAGAAGTGAGGAAAGAACGTAAAAACATAATAGGTAGAAGCCCGCTAAAACTAACCAGAATGCATCCATACAAATATCCACCAAGAAAAAGCAATTAATTTGCTCCCATTACTTTTAGACCCCAGGTCACTGAGTCAATCAAACAAACTCTCAGTGTTCATTGTGTAACAGAATAAAATATTATCTCACCTATAATCAAGATGTTGACGAAAACCTGTCAAAGTTGGATCTATCTCATATATTCTCTGCCCCCTACCAAGTGGAGGAATGGACCCTGGTCTAACTTCAGTTTTAGCTTCACTTTCCTCAGTACTTACTTTCTTTTGTAAAGGAAAAGATGGCTCTACAAACGTGGAAGCAGAAACTGTCTCTTCAATCTCTCTCTTCATCTTCCATTTTAAGACAATCTACATCATGAAGTACCTAAAACAAGAGCATAAAGGTGCAAGAAGCAACAGTGTTAAAATAAGCTCTCAGCAAAAAATTAACCTTTCATAAGAATATACAGAAAACAGATAAAAATGGATACTGTTCAAATATAAGATAAGCAATGATAGAATACCTTTCATGACACTTGAATGATGGTTATTCTAGTATAGTCAGGCCCACAATAAGCATGGCTTCCTATTTACGACAAGTACTCAATAGGTGCATGCAGATATTATAAGCTCTCTCACCTTATGAAGCAATCAAGTTATGCCATCACTGGAAAATTTTGTGGGGCAGTAATAATGGTAAAACTTTATGGGTTTTGGGATTTCAGCAAAAGTGATGGGTATCTGAAGAAATTAATATTTCAATTTTCTTATATCTTAATGTCTGTCAAACATGACACTTTTGTACAAGCATAGTCATCTTAATATTGTACTCTGTGTTAGTATATCATATGTTTGTACATATTGATGGAATACTTAAATACTATTTATTATTCAGTACTTCTCTATCACCTTAAAAAAGAAAAAGAAAAACAAATAGAGTTGCCAAGCATTACATGCAGTAAACCCTTAAAATAAATTCAAGCACCAGGAAAAATTCCTATATGTTGGGTGTACCTATTAGGTCATAGTCAATGTAACATGGAATTAAATTTGTCAAGCAAAGAAACGTTATAATGACAAGGAAAATGAAAATATACATGTTTGTACTAGCCAAGGAATCGTACAACATTTCTTTTGTAGGCATTCTCTAAGAAGTCTCAAATGCTAGGAACCCGCCTTAAGCATCCTGACTATGCGGTCCAAGAAGAAAAAACAAAGCAAACCTTTATCAGTAGTTGTGTGACATCCTTCATTGTGCATACATACTCCTCTGTCAAATTTTCAACATAAACACCAGATTTGACATCTTCTCTTATCTGGAAGGAGAAGCAAAACAGGGTCAAGGAAAACTGAATTTATGTAGGTCTTTTACTGGATGTGAGTGTTTCTGTGACCTGAAGATTTCTTTGGCTTGGATCCAACAAATCTGTGATTTTTTCATTGTAAATCTGCAAAAATATGTGGATATATTAGGACATGCAACATTAAATTTCACAAGACCAAAAGGGATACTGTCCAGTCACAAAACCTCAAGAAAAGAAAAACGACATTGGCAATTTAGCTGCTTTTCCGCATGCTTGATTTGTTCCTACAAAGAAAGTACAAGGGGTTAATATCATGAAAATGCAAAGGATAATATCAATTTCTTGCTTTTCCTCTCAGTAACAAAACAGAAGCTAAACAAAACTTTAAAGTTTACATTTTCTCAAGCTTGAGTCATTTTTTCCCCAAATTCTCTCAAAATTTAAAAAAGATAATATCAAATAACCACTAAAAAGAAGAAGATCGAAACAATTACTTGAACACCCGAGTCGGGGACCCCAACCATTACGTTCTCGGGAAGTGTATCAGTGGCGAGCTTGCGCTTGAGTGGATTGGGCGGGCGTGGGGGCAGCGGACTCTTCATCTTGGAAGGTGCCGAAGAAGGCGGAAGAAGTAAGTTCAGATCTGACGGCAGAGCATTTTCTTTGGATGATTTTTGCTTCCGCAATGACCTTAATTTTGAATTAGGGTTTGGAGACGACGAAGATGGCGACTCACTTGAGTGAGTCTCTCTCAAGTTTGTGTTTCTTGGCTGCATTCCGATGAGTAAACTAAAGAGAGAGAAGAGAGAAGGGTCTGTTAGTTTGGGCAAGATTGCTGAGATTGAGGGCGTTGGAGACAAGAAGAGGGGAGGAGAGAGAAATGTAGCCGTTATAGAGTTTTGAATTTTTTAGATAGAGAAAGAGAGTGATTATTCACATTTATTTATTTTTTTGTAAGGAAAGCTGTTTTTTAAACGAGTTTAGGGTGAAAGAACTATAAAGTGTTGACCAACTCTTGAAATCAAGAACTGACAGGTGTATAATGAAAATGAATCAATAACTATTTCACCCTTATGACCTTATCTACAATATTTACTGTTGAAATTGCAGAAAAATCCTTGTACAGTATTATAATAATGATTTTTCCCTAATGTATCATAGTGAAAAGTGAAAACTTTGTTGACCTTCTTAGGACGCTAAGAGAGGTGTTTGTCTAAGTTTATGAAAATTAGTTGGTGTTTATAAGCTAATTTTAGTTTATAAGCATTTGAAATTTTAAGTAATTACGTATTTGGTTAAAATACTTATAAATGACTGATAAGTAGTTGACGTGTTTAGTAAAATGTGGCTTATAAGTACATTTTATTATAAAATGACTAAAAATGGTACTACATTAAATAAAGGTATACTATAGAATTTTAAAATTAAATAAAGATAATGTGGTAATATACTTGGCCAAACTAGCTTAAAACCAAAAAAAAAAAAGTACCCCCCCCCCCCCCCTTCCCTCAACTTTTTTTTTTTTTTTTAAGTTATAAACAAATAGGTCAGCCTAATTTTAGAGCTTATAAGCTATTTTGACCAGCTTATAAGCTTAGACAAACACCCCTTTAATGAAAAGTCATCTTTAGTAAAGTTTTAGGGGGGTTTGTTTAAGCTTATAAGTTGGTCAAACTAGTTTATAAACTCTAAAATTAAGCTAACATGTTTGTTTATAACTTGTTTAAACTTATAAGTTGAGCTTATAAGCTAAAAAAAAAATAAGTTTAGGGGAGATACCTTTTTTTTTTTTTTCTTATAAGCACTCTGTTTATAAGTTAGTTTGACCAAGTATATTACAACATTATTCTTTTTTAATTTTAAAATTCTATAGTATACCCTTATTTAATATAGTACCCTTTTTAGTCATTTTATAATAAAATATACTTATAAGCCATATTTTACCAAACACGTCAATTACTTATCAGTCAGTTATAAGTACTTTAACCAAATACGAATTACTTAAAATTTTAAATGCTTATATGCTAAAATTAGCTTATAAACACTTGTTGCTTATAAGCTAATTTTCATAAGCTCAGACAAATACCCCTTAATACTTCTGCAAAATCCTAGGGGAGTTTAAAGACCACTAATCACTAAGGGGCCGGATGATAAAAACCACTTATACTAGGGTGTTAATGGATAGGCTTATAGTTGACACGTGTCGAATAATCCCAAAACTTAGGGGAAGTTTACGAGAAAAACCCAAATCCGAATGTCTTTCTCTCTGTGGTGAAGAAAGATGCGGCCACGGCAGTGCCACGACCACGACCACGACCCTTTAAGTTGCTTGCACCTGAGTTGGGGAAAATAAAAACAGAACCATAAAAGCGAAGAAAAGAGAGAATGCAGAATAACGATGGATCACTACAGGGTATTGGGTTTAAACAGAAACGCAACAAGAGAAGAAATAAAAGAAGCCTTCAGAAAACTGGCTGTGAAATATCATCCAGACAAGCACTCTCAATCCGCAAAGGCCGTTAGAGAAGACGCAACCTTCAGATTCAAGCAGGTTTCTGAGGCCTATGAGGTTCTGAGTGACGATCTTAAACGCACCCATTACGATATTCATTATAAAAATTATAATAGTAATAGATATGGTCATTCTTACAGTAATTATGGATATGGGTATAGCACGCGCTCTGCCTCTGCCTCTGCCTCTGCTGCCCATTCCGGTGACGGGTTTGTTTCCAAGTTGGAGATTGCGCTTCGGTTTATGACCACGCGCGCCTTTCTTCTCAATTTCGCCTTCGCTGGGTATGGATTTTTTAATTTGCCTATATTTGTATATATCTTTGAATTGCTCAACTTCGAAGACTTTCCCTTAGTATTTGATATGAATATGAATAAGAACACGGTATTTACATATGCTATGTTCTTGCTAAATTAAAGATTGATTTTGCTTCACAATAGACATAGCTGATTTGGAAGTTTGAGTGTTTTGTGTTAAAGATAATGTTTAATTGATGAATCTATATGCGTACATTAAACTTGGAAGACTGTTGGAGACCTTCTGTTACCTCAAGTTTGTTGTTAAATCTTGTTGTTGAGTTTGATGACAGCTTTATATTACATTACGTTAAAGTTTCATAGGAGAATAAAAAATTGGAAGTCGGCTGATTTCTTATCTCTTTGTGTAAATTGAATGGATAGACCGGTAATCGTCTATTGCTGATTGGTCAAATGTTATTGGGAAGACAAATGAGTCAAAGAGGCTGCATTTTATGATATTTCCCTAAGTTTTACTGTTACTTAATTAGGTAAAATTCATAATGGCTAGCATGATAGTCTCTTACTCCTCGCTTTTCTCTGGGGTTGCAATCTATCTATAAACAGGCCTAGAAATGTATTCATCTCCTTGGGGCTTTTGAGGGGGGCTGTTTCCATGTAGGTTTTGATAAAAGAGTATGGATTCTTGAGAAGTCAGGTAATGTTTCATTTAAGTCTTTTTAAACTGATAACCCAACACACCCTTTCCTGAACGCTATGGATTGATTTGGAAGGATAAAGTTCCAATCAATTTGTCATGGTCTATTACTCTAAAGAGACTATACTCTGATGACATAACTCAAAGAAAACCAAGGATGTGTTTATCATCGAATTGGTATATTATGTACAAGGAAAACTCTGAAAGCACTTAACAACTTTTCCTACAGTGCTCCATTGCCATGCAATCATGGCTTAATGTTGTTTCAGATTTTAATGCTTTCTTGTCAGACCCTCTCTTTTTGTCCATTTTTCATGGAAAGGTTATCACCTTTTGGAGGTAAATGGAAAGTAGCTCTTTTGTGGGATAGAGCAATCATGGGTATATTCAAGGTATTATCGACTGAGAGGGATATAAGAAATTTTTCAAAGGCAGTTTTGGGGAAAATTTCTCATTCTTATGAGAAATAGTAAAGTTTCAAGCTTTTCTTTTTGGCTTTTGTCTCCTCAAATCATGGGTGATTGCGGGATTATGGTATAATTTTTTATTTGTTGTGCACCCTTTTTGTTTCTATTTAATAAGGCAAATTTGCGTCATTCTGACCTATCCCAAGAGTAGGAGCGGATTCTGATGCGCAATATGTTTAATACTTGTTTGATTATAATTTTTGAGCTATTCTATACACAGTTGTGAAGAATATCTTTTGCAATTTGATAGGAATGGACCTAAACCTTAGTCAAGGGCCTAGGTGGTTAGGTAGAACTCACCTTGGAAAACTGACTTGCCAAAGGAGGGTGCCCAACTCCTTATAAACTGCTTAACCCCTTCATTTCCTTCCAATGTGGGATCCTAACATAATCCTTTAGGAGTTTTACAGATAGTCCTTATTTCTATAGTCAGCCTGCCCACCCTTTTGTTAATCTTCTTGCATTGAATGCAACTTTGTTATAATTTTTAAAGGAAAAGAGAGGTGGTTTTTCGGATATGATCTCTTTTCTTTTGCCCGTTAGAGTTGGTTGGCCCATGCCTGGGATCCTAATAGAGATTTGGCCAGTTGATTTTGGAAGGTTTTAGTACCCATATTGTGTGGAAAACTATCCCTTTGCAACTTTAAAACTTTTCTTCATGAGGAAGGGTAGAGCATTTGAGAATTCTGAGAACTCTAATTTTAGTTGATATCATGAAGTTATATCATTGGGGATAGGACTGCTCAGAACTCTATGAAATAAATTTCTTTATTAGTTTTTATGTCATTTGAATGAACATTTGAAGTGGTAATTGTGGGACAAATTAGAGCTCTTTTTACCCAATTTTGTGTATTTGTTGAATGTTGTGAGAGGAAATTGTTCTAAGTTTGGCTTTAGGTCATTCATTTGAGAACATGCTTTCCAGACTCAGTTGCAAGATTGGTCTAATTTAATTGAAAAATATATTTAAATTTCGTTGTGATATTGTGTGGAATAGCATTTCCTTTTGCCGATGATTTGGTAGTAAAGTTTACTGAGATTAGAAAATTAATGTACTTATAAGATTATTCCCAAGTACATTTTCTGCTAGGAACTTTTACCAGTCAAATGTCTTCTAAATTTTTTCCTTCTTGTTTGCAGTTCACCTCTAACAAGACATGGTGGAAGTATGTTGTTGTGTGAAATAATTTGGTTTTCAAATCAACATTATGCTTTAGAGATTATTGTACTTGGATCAGTGCTTTCTACAATGATTAATTTCTTTTCCTTTTTAATGTTTCAAATGGTGTTGAGTATTTACTTGATTTTCTGTATGTTCTGCTTATATTGTACTAAAAAGTATTTGAGCATTTTTCTGTCAGTATGAGAGGACTTATTTGATAAATGTTTATTTATTTGTCTTCCTTTTTTTTTTCTTTCTTTGCAGTGCTTTAGTTGGTGGAATATATGTAATTGATAAGGGCAGAGAGAAAATATGGAGAATGCATAACTCTGGAGTAAGTTACTGGTTCTAAGGATTTGAATGTCCATGTTTTGAACTAATTCTGCTAAAAAACATAACCAACTCTGATTGATTCTTTTACCACATCAATATGCTACTTTTTGCATGATTGGTACTAGCAACTTCATAGAACTATATATTTATTAGAATGTTGAGAATATTTCTGCTACCTTTTCTCCTGGTCTTAGATTTTCTTTTTGGAATTGGATGTCAAAGGATAATAAGGTTGTTCACTAATAATGTGATTATTTGCATCCAGAAATCTTTTGAGGCAGCCATGGAGTCAATTGAAAAAGCTAAAGCACGTAAAGATAAGATTTGAAATAGCTGCAATAACATTAATTGTTTGCATTCTGCTACTGGAACTATACTGAAGAATTTTCTCTGAAAATGATTTGAGCGCCAGTCCTTTGGCTGCAGAGTCATGCTATTTTTCATTGTGCTTTTTCCTTTTTAACTGTGTTTAGTTCGACGATAAACTCTTTTTTACGATGTATAATATAACGAATTTGTTTGTTTAGATGTAAATCAAGTTCTGAATCTGAATAAATGCTATGAATCACGTTTATCTTTTGCTACTTACAATAAATTTATTTCAATTTCTTGGCTTGACCTATTTTTACTCCTTTTGTTTTGTGAATAATGCACTAATGAGTACATCAGTTGGCTCCCTTTGTTCAGTTTTTTAAAATAGTATTCTATTCTGAATAGGATCTTTGGAAAATAAGATAGGATTATGAAAATGTTTTTGGTAAATTTTTTCAAAATATATTCTGAAAATATTTAGGGGTCCATTTGGTTTGTTATTTTGGACAGGATTTTGGAAATAGTATTGGGTAGTTGAGTAAGATGATTATTATGTGGTAAAATTTAAAAATTAACAAAAAAAACCCCCTAAGTGTGCTAATTTAATTAAACACCTCAATATATAAAATTTTTGTAAAATGACAAAAACACTCCCACCCATCCACAGTGCCAGATTCCGGCCACCACCGTCGAAATCTGGTTGGAATCTAACGTTACGACACAGACCAGTCGGATCTGACCGGTCGTGTTTCGATCTGATTGTTGACAGTCGCAAAAGGCCAAATCTGGCTGTCGTTGACGGTCAAAGATATGCTTGTCGTTGTCGATCAACGACGGCCATTTCTTTGGCCGTTGTTGAAGGCTAGATTGGCAAATGACCAGCCAGTTCCGTTCGTTTGTATGCTATTGTGACAAATTCCAGCTACTACTGACGGTGGTTGTCAGAATTTGGCAACTATGGGTGGATGGGGGTGTTTTTGTTAATTTTTAAACTTTTTTTCTAGGAGTGTTTAATTAAATTAATAAAATTAAGGGGTCTAAAAGCAATTAAATAAAATATAATAGTATTTCCTAAATAATGAAACAAATAGTTATTTTGAGAATATGATTGGGAATAAGGTATGAAACAAAGAATCAAACGGACCCTAGATTATTTTTTAATCTCCCAAGTTTATTAATTTAACTAAAACTCTTCACAATAAAAGTTTATAAACTGATAAAAACACCCTCACCCACCCAACTATTGTCGACAGTTGGTCACCACCGTCGGATGGTGGTTGGAAGTCATTGGGATGGCACACAACTGGCTAGATCTGGCCGGTCGAGCCTCGATCTGACTTTTTTTTGTCACAAATCTGGCTGTTGAAGACTAGAGCTGGCCAGATCTAGTTGTCGTTGATAGTCATATCTTGGTCATTGTTGACAACCAAACAACAGCTTAGATATGGTCGTCGTCAACGGTCAAATCTGGCTGGAAACGGACAGATCAGCGCATGATTGGCCAGATCCAATTGGTCATTTGTCGTTACAGCGTCAGGGGCTGACGGTGGCAACGGCAGCGATTGACAGTGGCCGCGGTGGTGGCTACTGGCGGGTGATAGTGGCTTGGGTGGGTGAGGGTGTTTTTGTTAATTTTAAAACTTTATTAAAAAAGGTAATTGTTAATGTTTTGAGTTGAATAGAATAGGAATAGATTTTAAAAAATATTAAAATAAATGCATTTTTTATTTTTTAGGATAGGATAGTGTAAGGGTGTACACGGTCCGAGCAGTTCGCGAACTGCTCGAGATTGGCTCGCAGATGCTCCAGTTCGTCGCACTGTCTGGCGAGCTAAGCACAGTCTCGAACTGCTCGGTTCTTATACAAACCGAGTACCAAATATGGTGGTACTTGGCTCGGAGGCTCGTCGATCTTTGTCCAGCTCGTCGGTGAACGAGCTGTTGAGCTTGAACCTAATCGCCATCTCATGATCGCATCTTCGAGTTCGACTAAATGGCGCTCTCCCGCGGGTGTACACGGTCCAACTAGTTTGCGAACTGCTCAGGATTGGCTTGCAGATGCTCGAGTTCATCGCACTGTCTGACGAGTCGAGCAGTCTCGAACTGCTCGGTTCTTATACAAACCGAGTACCAAATATGGTGGTACTCAGCTCGGAGGCTCGTCGATCTCTGTCCAGCTCGCCGGTGAATGAGCTGTCGAGCTCGAACCTGATCGCCATCTCGCAATCGCATCTTTGAGTTCGACTAAATGGCGCTCTCCCGCCTCTCCCAAAGGACCCAGACTCCCAGACTCCCACAGTCCACTTATTCTCCCTCCAAAAACAAACACAAATACCCAAAATCCCTAAGATCTAAACACAATCTCGAGAAACTTTCCCTCCCAAGTCTCAACCCTAACCTCCCAAGTCTGTATTCTGTATTCTGTAACCCTAACCCAAACTCGACAACCCCAATCCCAGTCCCCAGAACCAGTCAAAGAGGGAGGACAGATTCCTCTCTTAAGCTTCAATCCTCACATCAAAATGAATCAGTGATTTCCTACAAAGTAAGCCGAAAAATTGATTCTAAAGTTGTTTCTCTATGTTTATTTATTGCTCATCCATTAATGGTTTTGATTAATTTTGTATGTGAATGATCTATTATTCGTTAATAATGGACTTCGGTTTTTTTTTTTTTTCTGGGAATGATGAATGGTTAATGGTTTTGATTCTTTATTTTATCTGATTTGCATGTGATGGTTATCAAATCATCTCATGTGTTTGATGATGGTTTTGTTTGCAAGTATTGTAGATATCTCGATTGATATAAGAGAATTAAAGAACGAACACTATGTAGTTATTGTACTTGTTTTATGTTTCATATCATGCTTTGTGTTGTAACCATGGCGTGTCCTTATCTTTAGTCTCATATATTTATATTATTGGTTTGTCTTCATCTTCCTGAGAAATTCCAGAATTGAAGATACATACTTTCACTAGTTCAACATGTAACTATATTGCTAGTTGTCAATCTTTGTCTTCCTCTCTTGAACAAGCTTCAATTTCCATTTTGTTTGTCTTTGTTCAATCATATGATTAAACATATGATTTTGTCTTCCTCTCTTGAACAAGCTTTAACATGTAACTATATGGATGGTACTAATCTTGTGTTTTCCTTATTTGCGAATAGATATGGCATCGACTGATTCGACTCCATTAAGTTCCACTCCACAAGGGTCACGGCCTGCAACTGACAGTAATGCAGCAACTGTAGCTGCTATTAATGAAGAAGATATAGAAGCAACTAATGTTTAACCCTTTTGCAAGGAAAAAGAAGGCAAAGACATCTGTAGTGTGGAAGGATTTTACAGAAATTAATGTTTCTAGTGGACCAAAGGCTGAATGCATCCATTGCAAAAGGAGGCTTACCATAACGAGCACCGAGAGCACTACTCACCTCTCAAGGCACTTGAAGACTTGTGTACGGCGAAAGCTCTTTGAAAAGCAACAACAAAGGTTTTTTTGAAGCAACAAATCCAGTTGATGCAGGTAATGTTATCCCTGTTCTTACCGGAGGTAAATTTAACATGGCAAAAATGAAGGAATTAGTGGCCACTTGGGTGCTGATGCATGAGCATCCTTTTACTGTTGTGGAGGAAGAAGGATTTAATAACATGCAGAGGTATACGATCCCTGAATGGGAAAAGATTAGTCGTAGGATGTGTAAAAATGATGTTGTTACTTTGTTTGAAAGGGAGAAGATAAAGCTGAAGAATTTGTTGAAGGATGTTGACAGAATAAGCTTAACGACCAATTTATGGAAGTCAAGTAATCAGAGGATTGAGTACATGGTATTGACAGGGCATTTCGTAGATGGTAATTGGAGTTTGCAGAAACGGATTCTAAACTTCTTGTACATAGCTCCTCCATGCACTGGTGTTCCCAAATTGCAGATTTAATTTATAAGTGTCTGAAGGAATGGGGTATAGAGAACAAGGTGTACACGATATCAGTGGATAATGCATCAAGTAATGATGCAGCAATCCGAATTTTAAAGGAGAATTTGGCAATTGACAATAGGCTGCTTTGTGGAGGGAGATTATTCCACGTTAGGTGTTGCGCACACATCTTGAACCTTATTGTTCAAGATGGGCTATCCCAAATAAGGTCCATTATTGATGATGTTCATGATAGTGTGGCCTATGTGAAACAAACAGAGAGCAGGCTTATTGTTTTTTCAGAGATAGTGCAAATGTTGCGTTTGCCCAACCGGAAGTTGGTCCTAGACTGCAAGACAAGGTGGAATTCTACTTTTGAGATGTTGTCAATTGCAGTGAAGTTTAAAAATGTCTTTGAAAGGCATAAAAAGAAAGACCCACATTATAATTGTTGTCCCAGTGTGGAGGAATGGGTAAAGGTAGAGCAAGTTTGTGAAGTGTTGGGTGTGTTTAGTACCATTACTAATGTAATTTCTAGGAGTGAATACCCGACTGCAAATATATATCTCAGTGAGATTTTTCGGGTTAAGGTTATGCTAGATCAGAAGTTAGTGGATGAAAATGATTTTATTCGACATATGGTTACGAAAATGAAACAGAAATTTGATAAGTATTGGGGAGAATGCAACTTGTTGATGTGTGTAGTGACTGTCCTAGATCCTAGGTGTAAAATGGTAGTGTTGGACTATTGTTTACCTAAAATGTATGGTGAGATTGATGCCCAAGTACATAAGAACAAAGTTAAAGATGTGTTATATCAAATTTACTAAGAGTATGTTGATGATTATCAATCTCAATCCTCAAACATTGAACAAGCAACTGCAATGGTTCCTCGGGGCAATGAACAAATAGAACATAATGTGTCTGGATTTGCAATGTTTACAGAACATATGAAAACGGTTCAAAGTATTCCACCAGAGAAATCAGAGTTAGATACTTATCTGGGAAAGGGTTGTTTCATGTTTGGGGAGGGGAATTGTATGAAATTTGAAGCATTGGAGTGGTGGAAGGTTAATACAATGAAGTATCGAATCTTGAGTAGGATGGCTCGTGATATCCTAGCAATCCCTATAACCACAGTGGCTTCGGAGGCCTCGTTTAGTGCTGGCAGCAGAGTAATAGAAACGTATCGAGCCTCATTGTCTCCCAAAACAGTACAAGTGCTCCTTTGTGGAGGTGATTGGTGTCGTCATCTCAATAGAGTTCATAGAAAGAACAAAGTAAGTGTAAATTGTAATAGGTGATTAGTATTTATGCATTTTCACTTACTAGTTAGTAGTTACTTTCATTTTTGTAACTGAAACTAATATTTTCCCTTGATGTAATTTAGAAAGAGCAAAAACAAGTGGAGATTCAGCTTCCAATCGAGTGAAGCTTACAAAGCTTGAATGCATTTTTTGGCCAGAATCCTCAGGTATCCATCAACTCTTAATCACTTATGTAGTTATGTTTCATAATAAAACAATTTTTATTCTTTATTTACATGTCATTTACAACTGCCTTTTTGTCTTAATGTTCAAGATTTTTTTGCATATAAAGGTTGGTTTTTGTAAGGATCTATTGGTTGTTTGAGAGGGTGGAGAAGAGATATGTTTCTTAATACAAAGGTTGGTTTTTTTAGTGTTGTTGTGAACCTAAGTTGTGATGATGTTATTGTGGTTCTTGTGAAGTATTTATTAATGTTATGTTATTGTTGAATGTTGAACTTGTGATGTTGTTTGAGAGGATGGACTATGGAGAAAAGATGTGATTGTTGTGAAGTGTTTATTTATGTTATGTTATTGTTGAACTTGTGATGTGTTGTTTAATAAGATGGACTATGGAGAAAAGATGTGATTCTTGTGAAGTGTTTATTTATGTTATTGTTGAACTTGTGATGTTGTTTGAGAGGATGGACTATGGAGAAAATATGTGATTCTTGTGAAGTGTTTATTTATGTGATGTTATTGTTCAACTTGTGACTCTTGTGCAGTGTTTATTTATGTGATGTTATTGTTGAAAGTGATTCTTGTGAGGTTTTTATTTATATGATGTCCATTGAGTTTTAAACTAGAGATTTTGTTGATTTTACTTATATGTTTGTCCTGAAATTTAGATATTCTATAATTCTAATTAGGGGTGTTTATTGTTGCTGCATGTTTTTTGAATTTGGAGTTCTAGACTTTGCTGGAAGGTCTTTTGCTCTTTGCTGGGCATAATATGTTTATCCTCATTCCTAACGTTTTATAATTCTAATTAGGGTATTTATTGTTGCTGCAACCTGCAGGTTTTTTTAATCTAGAATTTTAGACTTGCTGGAAGGTCTTTTGCTCTTTGCTAGGTAGAATATTTTGGCCTGAAATTTTGATATTCTATAATTCTAACTAGGGGTATTTATTGCAGCTACAGGTATTTGAATTAGGGGTGTTTATGGTTGCTGCAGGTTTTTTGAATATGGAGTTCTAAACTTTGCTGTAAGGTCTTTTGCTCTTTGCTAGACAGAATATGTTGCCATGAAATTTAGATATTCTATAATTCTAATGATGTATATTTTGTTGCTGCAGGTTCAAAGGGTAAAAGTCTAGTGAAAGGTAAAATGAGTAGGTGACCTGCGACTTGGCTGCTCAACTGCTGTAAATTTGGTGTTTCTTTGCCAAATGCCAACAGGTTGTATCATGGCTGGTGGTGGTGGATATTTTGTTTTATGTTAGTTTGGACTTTGGAAGTAGTTGGCTTGGCTATTGTATTATGCATGTGAATGAGATAAATCCAAAGTCCCAAGTCCCAACCTTTAAATGTAATTATGTATTATGTAAAAATGTATTGGCTCCTTATAATTATGTATTATGTAAATATGCACTGGCTCCTTAATCTTGAAAATATTAATCAAGAAGCTTCTCCTCTGGATTCTGTAATCATCATTCTCAAATTGGATTTGGTTGAAAATGTAATTTGATTGCATGTGTGGTTTCAATCTCAGTTTGTTATACTGTAATAATTTAAAACTGTTATTTCAAGCTTTTAAATCGAGCTCGATTTCGAGCCTGATAATGAGCACATACTCAAGCTCCATTAACGAGCTTGGCTATAATCGAATTCAGCTCAACACATTCTCGAGCTAATCGAACTGTTCACGAGCACGAACTAATTGACCATCTCGATCTCGATCTCAGATTTTCCCCTACTCGGCGAGCTCGAGCTCGAACTCTAGCCCATTTCACAGATTGCGAGCCGAGCTCGAGCAGATCACTGTTCGGCTCGGCTCGGTTCGCATACACCCCTAGGATAGTGTAAAAATAGTGTGTTAAGCGCTGGGTAATATTCTTTATGTGGTCCTTTGATCCCAAAAACAGGACTGCTCTTTGTCAAAGAGCAAGGTATAAGCAACGAATTGATTGATTAATGCTTAAAAAAAATTAATCCTTTATTCTTTTTTCTTTTTCTCTGAAAAGAGGAAACCCAAATGAATTGATGTTAGTTATTTATTTATTTATTTTTTAATATTATTGATTGTGGTGTCTTGAGTAGGGTGGATGGTGGTGTCGTCTGCAGATGGAAGGGGGTAGGTATGATGGAAGGGTAGGGTGGGTTTGTTGGGTATGTGAGAAAGGTTGGTGGAGGGGGGCCAATTGCTCCTAGGTAAAGGACGAACTGTTAAGACTAGTTATTGTTCGGTTGTGAATCTTTTTTTTTTTTTTTTTTTGGTTAATTGGTTTGGATATGATTTGTGATGGTGGCTGGTTACTTTCGGTTCTAACTTGTTTTTTAATTGATATGAATATGGTTTTTAGTGTTGATTTGAGAAAAAAACAAAAAAAAAAAAAAAAAAAACTATGAGAAATACTATGGCAATGAAGTAATGGTGATATTACTTAGGGACACATAAGATTTTTTATTTGAAAAAGATTTGATTAAGTGATAGAAAAAAGATTTTAAAAACTTTATTTTAATTAAATAAATTATATAAAATTAAATAACATATATCTTATTTTCTTTGAGTTAATTGCAAATTAGTCCCTATCGTTTGGGTTCACTACAATGTAAGACATCGGCAAAATATTATTCCCTGGCATTAGGGGTGAGCATGACTAAAGGGTAGACTTGGACCATCGATTTCAGGTAGGAACCGAAACTGACCTTCACATGATAGGTTCTGGTTTTGGAAAATTGGAATCGGGAATTCCTGTGTTCGATTTTGGTTTATGAAATGCTAGAACTAGAAACCGGAACCGAAACCTACATTCGAGAACCGTTTAGGAACTAGGGGTGAAATAAATAGCATAAAAAATTGGGAGGTCTTAGAAATTTACATTTCAAAATCAAAATACCCAATTCGATTAACATTGGAAATTTGAAAAATTGATTTGGGGAAAACAGTTTGTTGTTCTCTTCTTCTCTTCTGTTCAACTTGGTCGTTCGTCATCCGGTCTACCGTTCTCTTCTCTCTTCTCTCGTCAAGCAGTTAAGAAATTACAAGTTAGGATTGACATTGATGCATCGAATACAAGTTGTTATAGAAACAAGTAAAATCCAATAAATATTTTGTTGGGAACTGGAATTGAACCGCAGAGGAAACCAATCGTTATGGGTTTTACGATTTCTAAAGTTCCCACGGACTAAAGCTCTTTGGAGCTTGATGCTGATGCTGGTTTTTCCATGGGAGTACAAGAAGAATTTGATTTGATTCTTGTTTTTTAATATTTCTTTTTGGACGTCCAGGAAAGAAGGGCTTGAATTATGGGCCGAATGGGATTCTTCGTGGGCCAAAAACCCAAAAGTCTGAGCTTTTAAAAATATGCTACTGTTTAAGGCTACCAATTTTTTTTTTTTTATTATTATTTTGAACCTTAAAGAAAATTATTACATAAACATAATTTGTTACAATCGAAATGTTTAAGCATAGTTTTCTATTAATTCTTACATAAACATAACTTTAAATTTTCATAGTCGTTAACACATTTTATTTTATTTCAAATATTTGTTTTTTATGAAAATATATTATTAAAACAATAAAAAAGGTAATTATATAACAACATGAATCTAAAAAAAAGTAAGTTTCAAAATTGAAATAGGAAAAATGGGGTGTGAATAAAAAACTTACTATAACTTAGCAAGTTATTTTTTATATTAAATAGGTAATTTAACAATAAGAGTTACTAATAAACAAGATGAGGTCTAAAAAAGAGTAATATTATGTTTACAACTGAATTATACAAATAGATAAAAAACAAAGGATAAAGTAGTTATTTTACATAAATTTTGTGTAATTTTTGTCTGTTTGTATGACTCGGGTGTAAGTAAAATATTAATGTCTAAAAAATAACTTCCCTTAAATTTATTTAAAATAATAATTTACAAAATTATGGTATTTTATTAGTTCCGAAAAAATAACAACTATTATAACTTTTTTCCAATGTTATTCATCTCCCTCAAATAATCGTCTACAAATGTACATGAAATGACAATGTTTTTCCTTGTGCTACCATGTATATGCTTGTTTATTTACATGTTTGAATAAGAGCAGTTGGATTGAAAGATGAAAGACTTTTGTAATTTATATAAACAGTTACAATTGGTGTGTATTTGTAATTTTTAAAGGGTTTATTTGTTATTTTTAAAAAGCGGGGGGTAATAAATTATCCCAAGTACCCGAAACAGAACCGGAACTGACCGCTGTTCGGTTCTAATTCCTTTGATTTTGGGCGAGTACCTGGACTCACTCACCCCTACGCTGGCATGCCTCTTTCTCGTTAGTGTTAACCTAATTCCTATCAAGTTGGAGGACCATTTGTGGGTTAAAAATAATTGTGTCCTTAACTAGTGACCAAAACTATTTACGGGAAAACTCCTCCCCAACACACCCCCCCTAATGAAACAATAGTTTTTTGAGAATATGATTGGGAATAAGGTATGAAACAAAGAAGCAACGACCCTAGATTATTTTTTAATCTCCCAAGTTTATATTAACTAAACTCTTCACATAAAATTTATAAACTGATAAAACACCCCCCACCACCCAACTATTGTCGACAGTTGTCCACCACCACCGTCGGATGGTGGTTGAAGTCATGGATGGCACACAACGGCTAAATCTGGCGGTCGACCATCGATCTGACTTTTTTTTTGTCACAATCGGGCTGTTGAAGACTAGACTGCCAAATCTAGTTGTCGTTATAGTCATATCTTGGTCTTGTTGACAACAAACAACAGCGTAGATATGGTCGTCGTCAACGGTCAAATCTGGCTGAAGAATGGCAGATCCAGTCCAGGGTCATTTGTCGTTACAGCGTCAGGGCTGAGGTGGCAACGGCAGCTATTGACATGGCCGCGGTGGTGGCTCTGGCGGGTGATAGTGGCTTGGGTGGGTGAGGTGTTTTTGTTAATTTTAAAACTTTATTAAAAAGGTAATGTTAATGTTTTGAGTTAATAGAATAGGAATAATTTAAAAAATATTAAATAAATGTTTTTATTTTTTAGGATAGGATAGTGTAAGGGTTGTACACGGTCCGAGCAGTTCGCGAACTGCTCAGATTGGCTCGCAGATGCTCCAGGTTCGTCGCACTGTCTGGCGAGCTAAGCACAGTCTCGAACTGCTCGGTTCTTATACAAACCGAGTACCAAATATGGTGTGGTACTTGGCTCGAGGCTCGTCGACTTTGTCCCTCGTCGGTGAACGAGCTGTTGAGCTTGAACCTAATCGCCATCTCATGATCGCATCTTCGAGTTCGACTAAATGCGCGCTCTCCGCGGGTGTACACGGTCCAACTAGTTTGCGAACTGCTCAGGATTGGCTTGCAGATGCTCGAGTTCATCGCACTGTCTGTGACGAGTCAGCAGTCTCGAACTGCTCGGTTCTTATACAACCGAGTACCAAATATGGTGGTACTCAGCTCGGAGCTCGTCGATCTCTGTCCAGCTCGCCGGTGAATGAGCTGTCGAGCTCGAACCTGATCGCCATCTCGCAATCGCATCTTTGATTCGACTAAATGGCGCTCTCCTCCCCTCTCCCAAGGACCCAGACTCCAGACTCCCACAGTCCACTTATTCTCCCTCCAAAACAAACACAAATACCCAAAATCCCTAGATCTAAACACAATCTCGGAAACTTTCCCTCCCAAGTCTCAACCCTAACCTCCCAAGTCTGTATTCTGTATTCTGTAACCCTAACCCAAACTCGACAACCCCAATCCCATTCCCCAGACCAGTCAAAGAGGGAGGACAGATTCCTCTCTTAAGCTTCAATCCTCACATCAAAATGATCGTGATTTCCTACAAAGTAAGCCGAAAAATTGATTCTAAAGTTGTTTCTCTATGTTTATTTATTGCTCATCCATTAATGGTTTTGATTAATTTTGTATGTGAATGATCTATTATTCGTTATAATGGACTTTCGGTTTTTTTTTTTTTTCTGGGAATGATGAATTTTAATGGTTTTGGATTCTTTATTTATTCTGATTTGCATGTGATGGTTATCAATCATCTCATGTGTTTGATGTGGTTTGTTTGCAAGTATTGTAGATATCTCGATTGATATAAGAGAATTAAAGAACGAACACTATGTAGTTATTGTACTTGTTTTATGTTTCATATCATGCTTTGTGTTGTAACCATGGCGTGTCCTTACTTTAGTCTCATATATTATATTATTGGTTTGTCTTCATCTTCCTGAGAAATTCCAGAATTGAAGATACATACTTTCACTAGTTCAACATGTACTATATTGCTAGTTGTCAATCTTTGTCTTCCTCTCTTGAACAAGCTTCAATTTCCATTTTGTTTGTCTTTGTTCAATCATATGATTAAACATATGATTTTGTCTTCCTCTCTTGAACAAGCTTTAACATGTACTATATGGATGTACTAATCTTGTTTTTCCTTATTTGCGAATAGATATGGCATCGACTGATTC